GTTCTATGCTTTTTCTACATGAATTCTGAAACATACAGTGTTTAAAACTGAGAGTCAAGACCTCTAGAGAGGTTATTTTGGAGACCAGAATTGCCTGACCTGGACTAGCAGGTTAGAAGTGGAGTCCTGAGTCACAGAGACCTTCCCCTGCCTGTTGACCTGAGGCCAAGTTAGAGAAAGACTGAACTTTCAAAATACTGCATGAAAATCTGTATGTCAGAGTTAAAGTGGCTTTTTGAAGAATATTGAGTCCTGTTTGGAGAAATGTTTGTGGAAGTGTAGTGGTAGGAGGAAAAGAGGGAAGGTTACTGAAAGCCACTATTCCCTGGTAGCAGGGGAAAGATGAGACTTTCTGCTCCTATAAAGATGTACAGCCTCAGAAGCCCTGTACAGGCTCAATATGAGTCGGAAATGAGTTGCAACACCAGCATTAATTACTAAGTTAAGAAATCAGTGGTGAGTTGTATTATTCTGGAGGATTGGCAGAAGATCAGCACAATTCATGAGAATGTACCATTCCACTTGATATATGTGAATCTCAAATTCACAAATGGTGAGTAGCCATTCTGGTTTGTCCAATTATTTCAGTTTTGTAACAGAAAGACCTGTATTCTGGAAAGCCCATTCCTTTTGTGCAGACCACTACAATCTACTCACCTGGGTTTAACATGACAGAGCAACTGTACATTTCTTATGGAAGTCACAATTATGGAAAAATAAGGATCAAGTGCAGGAAGGAGAAAGAACACTAGCTGGACTGACTCCACACCGAGGCCAGAGCACTTACAAAAGTCACTTTTCTTCTCTGAGATTTGGTTTCTCAGTTAAAAAACAAGAATAAGACATTTTCTTTGATTGGTAGGAGGATTAAATGAGATAAAGCATGAGAAAGTGACTGACACCCAGTAGGCATGCAAAGAAAATGCCATTTTTGATTGATTTCATTATCTAGTTCCTTGTAAATGTTTTCTCTCCCTTAAAATAAACATAAAATTATGTCTAGTAACAAGAGAAGACTGCTGTTGTGGGTATCTAACATCTTTGGAAAAATGAATTATTATTATTAGATGTTGTCAAGTCGATTTTGACTCCTGGTGACCCCATGTATGCAGAGTCGACCTGCTTGCTCCATGGGGTTTTCAAAGCTATGACCTCTGAGAAGCAGATCACCAGGTCTTACTACCGAGTTGCCGCTGGGTGGAACTGAACTGCCAACGTTTTAGCTAGTTAAGGAGTACCGAACAGTTTGCTCGAGTCAGGGACTCCAGACTTGTTGCAGTAAAGTCAGTTCCAACAGGTGGCAACCCCAAGTGTTACAGAGTAGAATTGCTTTACAGGGCTGTTTTTGGCTGTAATTTTCAAGAAAGCAGATTGACAATCTTTGCTTCCGCCGTGCCATTAGGTGTGTTTGAACTATCAACTCTTAGGTTAGTAATCCATTGCAAACTCTTTGTACCACCTAGGGACTTAGTAAATGATTTTTAAGGTTAAAGACAAACAAACAAACAAACAGTATTAAAATAAAAGGAGACTACTTTGAAGGGTACAGAATATATTTTATAATGATAAACTATTTTAATTTATATGAATTAACTACTTCATTTTAAAATGAAAATAAATAAGAAACCATATTTTCTAACCTCTTTTATATCCATGGCTTTTTCTAGGAAGTAGAAAAGTTATGGGGCTGCAACTGTTTGGACTTTATTAAGTCATTTTTGCATACTCTAACAAGGAGCTCTGGTAGCATAGTGGTTACGAATC